CTGAAAGTCACATACAGGACTGGAGGACCGTGGTCTAAAGTGAATATACCTGAACAACACAGCCATTACAACGCAACACACGTTCTCAAAGGATATTACAGCATCTCAAACACAAGGAAGGCAAAAAGCTGCTGAAGTCACAGAACGAGGAGAGAGGAACTGAAATGAAACCAAGTACAAAATAAGTAAGCACAATCCTAAGTGCCCAGGACAGGTGAGGGCAATTGCTCTCTGGGACTAGTAAAGTCATAAGAATAGAGTGCTGACAGCTTTCCGAAGGACCTTCTGGTATTTTGTTATTGTGCTAAGTTTGCTAAGATTTGTCCCCTAGCATTTTTATTTCAGCGACTTGCTGCCACCAAACAAGTGTTGTTCATGACAATTCATGAAGTATTTGTTAAATTCAAGGAAGGAGCACCTATACTTTTCAGCTATCTGGCTTTTTCTGACAAGCTGGACTAGTCAGTGTGGCATCTGTATCACTAAAGTGCCTAATCTTTCTAAGAAAACACACTTGTTGGCGTGAAGGCTATAAGGAAAACACTTACTTTTGTGAGGAAAAAAGGGACGTTTACTTTTACTGAAGATGGAACTGGTTTCAGACTAGTGGGATTAGGGAAACCAGAAAGACTGCAAGAGCTGGGCACGTTGCACCAGACTGTTCCGATATACACATATGATCACGGCACTGGAGGCAGAGGGACACCTTCAAAGCCAACAACTTTGCACCTGCTGCTCAATTTGACAAGGCTGCAGGTTCGGTTCAGCCAGACAAGTCAACGGAGCCCTAACAGCAGTATTTCTCCTCTTGGTAAGTGAGGAGGAAAGGAGAAAGCAGGGAAGGAAAGACAGAAAGCACCCCAGATCAGGAGCAAGACAAGCAACACAAAAGACAAAGACGTGTGGAGCACATTTTGCAGAAGGCAGAAACTCCCAGGTCCATTAGGACTTGCCGTCTAAGCAGCAAGCGATCCTGGCAGACACAACCAACTTCCCTGAAAAATGTTTGTTTGTTTTAGTAAAGTACAGGGAGAGAAACAGCAAAAGGTGAAAGGAAAGAATGACATCAAAACAACAGGAGCGAGGCAAAAACAGGATGCAAAGGGAAAGGTCGTTTGTCTTCCCCATTTATGGAAAAGTGAAGGCATGAGCCAAGGGAATAGCAAAAGTGCCACTGGGGAGATTTGCTTCTGAAGCCCCCAGGAGCAATGCCTGCCTTTCCCCACAAGCCCACAGGAGCACACGGATGGCCAGACAGGGAGATAGGACAGCCACCGGAGCGCTCACCACTGGCCACTGCTGTCTGGAAGATGCTGCACTTGTCAAATAACATGGTTTGATGGAAGACACCTCATCCCAAATTCCTAACCTGGTCAGTTGGGGGATTTCTCTTGAATCTAGATTAAATAAATTCATAAAAAATAAAACCTATAAAAACTACCCTATCATGATGCATGTCTCTCATAAGCTACATATTAAAAAACAAATCACAAAACCCAATATTTATCAGCTTGAACTCACCACCAGCTTTCACTTCATATCCACGTGAGGGTATGGGGCAGGTCTCCCCAAAGTCTCACCTGAGCAGACCAACGCTCACAAATGTCCCACTTGCTCAGAGCCCCAAGCACTCCCCACGGGAACACACGGGAATACCGTGTGCAATAGCAACAGGATGAGATCAAGCCTGCTGCTACGTGAACCGTATGTGAAGGACAGAGAAGGCTGCCATTCTGGTGCCACCAGTTTCTAGCTCCCACCACTTTCCAAAAAATATTACTGTTCCAAGACAAAATCACAAATAACGGCAGCAAAGGTAAAAAGGTTTATAACAACACGCCTCTCCACTGTTAATCAGTGGCCTATTCATTCATCTTCGGAAATCACGAGAAATAACATCCTGCCTTCTGCAACACGAGAGTTAGAAACGTGGGGAAAAGTTTCTATCTGATGGCCAAGCAAAGGAAAACTTTTTTCAAGCTACCCTTCTGACCCCAGCGTATCAACAGGTTGTCCCCCCTGCCCTATGACCATATCTGACACCACCGCCCTGGCTTATACAGTGAGTTGAAAAGTGCTAGCCAGACTCCAAGATAAACTTGTCAACAGCAAGGCACAGACACTGGCATTCTTCCCTACCTGCCTGTGAGTGTCAGCTGTTTGTCTGCGAGCAGTCCCTTGAAAAGCTTTTTCAGAAAGAGAAAGGGAACAGGGGATGCAGAGGGCAATTCAAACAGAGAAGTGGGGAGGGGAACCCCACAAAGACTGCAAAGAGGAGTTTAAAAAAAAAAAAAGTCCCCATCAGGTCCTCCCAACAACCTTCTTTATCAGAGGTTCATTGTCAATCAATTAGCCAAGGCAGCAGGGGTCTGCAGGAAGGGGGGTAGCTCGAGAGACAATGGTCTGCCCTGTTGTATTACTATTTAATCACTTTTCCTAAACAAATAAAGCAGCCCTGAGGTGCTGTCATGTCAAGGGAATTTATAACAAAAAAACCCTTCATTTTTCATTGGTCATTACTTTTCCTTCCCTCCCACCCCTGCAGGACTAGAGAGGGTTATTACTGTAGCCTTAAGTTCCATCTTTGTGTTGCTTGCCTTTGATTCCCACTCGGACCTTGCCACTTTCTGGCACTAATTTGTCAGGCTGAACAAAGGAGGGATTTGTACCTCCTGTAAGGTCTCAATTAGGAAAAGCTTCTGCTGTATTATGTGCCATTGGGACAGGACACAAAGACGGTAATTACAGGAATTTGCACTAAATGGCTGAAGAATTCACAGCAAAACTTTTCTTCCTCCCCCCTGTCCTTTTCCAAGCTTACCCCTCCCAGCAGCCCTGGGGAAAACCACTCTCAATGCCTGCAAGATGTAATTACCAACAGCAGGCCCCTTAGGTTAAACAGCAGCCCACGCAGGGGAACAGCACAAACTGCCTGCAGGGAGCAAGGTGCAAGGAGAGAGCCTCAGCTTGGTGGTGTGCCTCCAGAGTCTGTCTCCTCAGCACAAGCTTTTCTGAGCTGGACAAGATTTCCTCTCCTCAGGTAGCGAATCCCATTGACCTGCTTCTCACAGGCTCTCTGCAAGTCATGTTTCTCTGCACGAGAGCTTTTGTTCAGTATTGTACACTGAAAGAAGCTCACAGGAGCACTGGGAATGCCTCATATATAAGTTCATCACAAAAAAATTTCCTGCAACTCCAGCAGTCAGAGCACTTTATCTCTGTGGGGTACACACAAGTGAGTGCAGATGAGTCCCAAGTTTGGGAGAGGAAATTCACCCTTTTCCACATAAAATTCTGCTTCCATACTACATAATGCAAGACTAACCTCCTTTCACATTAGAGACAAGGGGGGTTTTGTTGCTGTTCTGGGGTCTGATCCTGCTTTTTAGGAGACCATTGACAATGCTCACTTGAAACTCTCCTGGATCTCAGACAGAGGATGGAAGAAAATGACAAAATCTTTCTCTACTGACCTTCGAATGAAAAGAAATAAGGAGACAGGAATAAAGTTTGAATGGAATCTGGGACGTTACCTTAAATTGAGGCTGTTAATTCTGCTGTCTTCTGGAGTTTCACAAAGCCAATCTGCTGGGTAACACACCAGGCTGGATCCATCTTGGGGACTTTTATCCGAACCATTCCCAGAGTCTCCCTGCCGTTTTCATTCTCACAACTACCATTAAAGGTAAGACATCACTTTGTCCCCATTTTACAGGCAGCAGATATTTTTAAAGTGCTTAAGTGCCCAATGGTGTTCAGGTGATCAAAGCTATTGAAGTAGCTAGGCACCTTAGTTTTCGGCAGGGGCTTGGCACATAGTTACTCCCACAAACACTACACGTGACCAGGCGGGTCCTGTGCACCATGGAGAGCTGAGCAGGAGGAACATCTGCAGGTGACTAATGGGGAGAGAGAGAGATGAACCCAGCTGCACCTGCAGGCAGCCCCGCAGGCAGCCTACTGCTCCTAGGGGATCAGGTCTCCCCCAGCAGGGACTCAAGGCCAGCCAGCAGGCCCTGGGCCTGCACAGCCTCGCACCACACTTCCCCAGAGCCACGTGTACAGCCAGAGCAACAAGGGACCGCCACATCCGACAGCTCCCCCACCCCAGGGCAGAGCGGAGAGTAACAAAATAGCTAGTAGCTTCCGTAACAAAATGGGAAAACCCTTCTAAAAAGCTGTTTTTGATGCAGCTGACAGTTACTAAGCGCATGTAACTCAAGCCAGCCTCAGAGCACAATTTGGGCACAAAGTACCCTTGCCAAAGTAAAAGGACAATGAACTGCATTTACATGGGTCCCTTCTATTTCCACTTCACTCCCCAACAGAATAAAAACATGCTTTTGTTTTGGACTAGGGTCAGCATTCACATGAACTAAGATTTTGGTTAAGAACAATTAGATGCAGATGCTTAAGGTCATGTTTTCACCTCTGCCTCAAGAGAAGAAATAAGCAGATAAGCTCATGCCTGAACATCAGTGCTAGAACACACATAGCCAAATGACAGTATTTCAGGGAAGCATATACATACAGGCTTTGAGGAGTCTCCCTAGAAGGCTCAGAGCTGAACTTGGGCCCCAAAAAGGACTTGGGAGGGAGACAGTAACAAAAGGAAACAAAAGTGCTTGAAGTGGGAAAGTTGTAATAGCCAGAATTCAAATCCCTTTGATTTCGGACCACCCTTCCAGTGGCCTGAAGCAGAGAAGAGCTCTGTTATCCTGTAATGAAGCCCTGGCCCATTCAGTGCTGTATCCTACATGTGCAGGACCTAGCGTTTCACAACTGCTCAAACACTGCTGAATTCCCAAACATCTCATAGGCTTTTCTCCCCATTTTTCAGAGAGCAAGAAAAGGCTAACACATCAAAGTGCCCATGGCCATAGATGAAGGAAGGGACCAGCTTTATGCTGCTAAAATACATGCAAGCTCTTCCAAGGGATTTTTTTCCTCTTTTCCTGGACAAGGGGAGTGGGTGCTGATTGTACAGTTCAGTTGCTTACCTGCACACTTGAAACTCTGAACTGTGAGCCCTCTCTCTAGCGACAACGTGGTCAGGATGCTCAGGAAGCTGGTGGTCACAGACTGGCGCTTGCTCTTTCTAAAATCTTTTCCAAAAGGTCGATCACCAGGTTTGTTCCTAAGCGTGACTTGCAGGTCCTGACCTAAATTTCTAGTAGCATTGGCTGCTGCTCGCAGCGCCTCCATCCACTCCTGGGCCCTCTGACGGGTCTCTGCACGCAGGCGGAGGACATCTTGAGGGAAAATGATCTGAAAGCAGGAGTCACAGCCATCCTGAGTATCTGTCTGGACCGACAAGCACACATCAACGTTGTAGCTCAGCAGAGGGTCTTCATCAAGCCTACCCGGTTGGAATGCCATGAGATAAGATCTGTTCAAGACAAATGTAAATGCCTTCCAGTTATTCTGGAGAGTCAACCTATAAAGAGTCCCTGATTTGAGAATATTTTGGTACTCTTTAGGGTTTTCAGTCAAATTCATGGACAGAAAAAGCTCCATAGGCTTCTCTAGCAATCCATTGGTTTGAGGAAGGGCATTATTATCATCAGGCTTTGGCACATTCTCCAGCTTCTCTTGCTGTCTCATGAAAGTCGGTACGGAGGCACGCACCACTTCCCAGAGTTTTTGCCCCCAGTCCAAAGCCTCCCATGAGGACTCTGCCTTCAGCTGTAGCTGCGAGTTGTCTGACAGAACAGTGTCCACCACCTTGGTTTCGATGCTACCAGTAACAGTGACCCTTTGAAAATGCATGAGCGGATACACTGTGGGAAGAGTCTGATTGCCACTGCTGTCCAGACAATACAGGTACAGTTCGTACGGGGAGAGCTCAGCATAACAGGTTTGCCAGTAGCTGTCATTGTCCCTTCTAATTTCTAAGTATCCCTTCTTCAGAATATTTGGGAACGTTGGCTTGTGTTCTGGAAGACATAAAATGAAAACATAACTGTTAATTCTTTTCAAATGAATTGTTTCACACTGTTAAGTAATTTTGGTTTATACATCTCTCTTTATCAATGCTTGGTATGTTTTGAGCCTAGGATCACTTCACTTAGTAGGCTATATTCATCAAATGCATGCACTGACTATACATTTGAGTCAAGAAAAGTATAGCACTTTTTTATCCACAAATGCCAAAACATGTTACAAAGAGGGGATGCGGAAACAGAGGGACAGAGAAACCAAATAATTTTCCTAAGATTACCCAGGAGGACAGTGACAAAGCAACAAAACAGGTTGCAGGTCTCCCAAATCCTAGTTCAGAAGAGTACAGTATCATCAAGTAAAACAGGAATGGCAAACCAAAAACGCTAAATCCTACAGAAAAGTGACCAGTTTAGCTCTACATTGCTGTATGGATGTCTCTCTCACAGTGGCTCTATCAACATTTTTGATGGCATTTTATACCCCTTTTACACTCATGTAACAGACTTACCCAGGATACAGGGAATGGAGAACTGTGTCCAATGACAGTAATTTCTGCACGATCTGAGACCAGAACGTTCTGCCTAGCTCCATTTACTCGAAAGGAGTTTTGTTGATTTACGACAATCAGGCTTAAAATGAGCATAGATGACCAAAAATTAAAAAAGAGGCTGCCCAGACTCAGATGCACATATCTAAATGCCTCAGCACTTCAGATGCCTTGGATCACGCCCTTTCAAAAAATCCTGGCCCAAAGTGAAGTCAAGGGGAATTTTCATTCTTTTGAGAAAATCAGCCCATACATAAGTTACTCTGGGCATCAAAACAGTAAGATTTTAAACTGAGTTATCAAAAGAATTTCTGATTTTTAATAAAGGTTTCAGTGCAAAACTTGTTCCAATCTGATTTGCACAGCTTCCACCACTCTTAATACACGTGAACATTCTATTTTCACCATGGGCTGGAGATGTGGCTTTAGGCAATTTTTGTTGCTCCCTGTATTACTTCAGCAGAATTCATTGGTATGCTCTAATGCCAGATTTAATACTAGGCATCCCAAAATAACCCAACACTGAGGAATAAATTCTTGCTCCCATTTGACTTTTACTGCACCTTTGCTGTAAAGGAACCTGTGATGGGTTTTGACTTACAAACAGTGGCAGAATTAACACAGAAAGATAATAAGGTTTCTGCTTCCAGTTGCCCATCGCCCTTGTAGGTTTCTGTTCCCAAAGCAGGAACAACGTGACCACTTGGGAACAGCTCTTCATCCACTGTCTGGCACAATTAGCTCAAACCAAAATCATCATCAATTGACCTTAACACACTGCAGCAATTCTGGAGCTGCTTCACTAGCAGTTTCTGCCCTCAGGCTGACACCCTTTGAAAGAGGGATGAGGTAGACAGCTGGAGGTGGAAAAGCTTTTCAAAATCTCAATTAAACCAGTTACCACTTATAAGTTAACAGTATATGTGCTAACAAATTTTAGACAGGATCACTTTTGAGTACTCCAGGATGCCTTTCATGCAGAGTTAAGAGAACAGAAGCATCCGAGTTTGATGATGCTGGGGAATGAACAGCCAAAGATGAGCCTGTACAGAAGTTACTGTGTCCCCACACATACCATGCTTCCCAGCAAGTACGGTAAAGATAGTTGGCTGAACTGTTCTTTCCACCACAGGCTTATCAAGTGAGTCTGTCCACCCTTCCAGGGGCACAGGGACAACCAGGGAAAGGTACGAGAGGACTGTGAGTATTTGAGAGACTTAGTGACGGTCTTTAGTCTGAAGGGCTTCTGACACAAACTTGTGAGAAAGCAATGCCTGGGCTGTAACATACAGTCTAAGGAGATGTCCCTGTCCTAGGCAGAAAGCACTGTTGTAGATGACTGTGAGAGTTTTGTATACAGACAAGAGCGATCTCACAGCCTGGAGAGATGGGCGGAGAGGAACCTGCTGAGGTTCAACAAAGGCAAGTGCAGGGTCCTGCACCTGCGGAGGAATAACCCCATGCAGCAGGACAGGTTGGGGGTTGATCTGTTGGAAAGCAGCTCTGCCGAGAAGGCCCTGGGAGTCCTGGTGGACAGCAAGTGAAGCATGAGGCAGCAATGTGCCCTTGTGGCCAAGAAGGCCAAGGGGATCCTGGGTTTCGTTAGGCAGAGTGTTGCCAGCAGGTGGAGGGAGGTGATCCTGCCCCTCTCCTCAGCCCTGGTGAGGCCGCCTCTGGCGTCCTGCGTCCAATTCTGGGCTCCCCAGTACAAGAGAGACGTGGCGCTACTGGAGGGAGTGCAGCGGAGGGCTATGAGGATGATGAGGGGACTGGAGCATCTTCTCCTCTGAAGAAAGGCTGCGAGAGCTGGGCCTGGCCAGCCTGGAGAAGAGAAGACTGAGAGGGGATCTCATCAATGTGTGCAAATATCTGAAGGGAGAGCGTCAAGAGGATGCGGCCAGACTCTTCTCCGTGGTGCCCAGCAACAGGACAAGAGGCAGCAGGCACAAACTGAACCACAGGAAGTTCCATCTGAATCTGAGGAAAAACTTCTTTCCTGGGAGGGTGACAGAGCACTGGCACAGGTTGCCCAGAGAGGTTGAGGAGTCTCCTTCCCTGGAGATATTCAGAACCCGCCTGGATGCGATCCTGAGCAACATGTTCTAGATGACCCTTCTTGAGCACGGCGGCTGGATGAGATGATCTCCAGGGGCCCCTTCCAACTTCAACCATTCTGTGATTCTGTGATGATTATGGACAGCAACAGTGTAAAAGTCCTGGCTAGCTCTTCAGGGAAGATGGACTTTAAGGATTTATAAGGATTAAGTAGTCAAGTTCCAGTCAAACTTAATTAACATAGATGAGAATTAATTGGCTTGATATACTTAATGTGAACATGCAAACACTGGGTAGGCAGTTAAAAATCAGGGAAGGATGCTGCCTCCCATCCACACTCACAAAAAGGACATGTTTAGGTTTTGCTTAGCCAGCCCATCCTCAGCTTCCCTACCTGGCTCTCACATACCCAGAATGGAGATTGCATTTAACACCATGTTCAAAATACTCTGCACCTTACCTACAAAGATCTCCTGCACAGATGACAAAATCATAATGATAATTAAAAAATCACTACTCTTGCATGAGGTCTGAAAAGGTTCTAAAGAAGTCGATATAACTATACCTTGCAGACAAATAAGCTACTCAAAGAGTATTTTGGCTAAATGTGAAAACGGAAAGCCCACTCTTAAACTTAAAATGGCAGAGAAAAAGCACACTTTCATATCCCAAACAGATAGATACACACAGAGGCACACACACACGCTAACAGAGAACCAGTTTTGTTCACCGTACATCTCTGGCCCTGATATTCATTAGTATTTCTGTGCTAACTCAAAAGCCATTAATTTCTCTGAAACCCACACTAATCCCTTTGTAGTGCAGATAATGGACAGCCATTCTAGAGTCATCTTCCTTTTCTATTAATCCAATCAGGGAGGCAGTGCTTCTGCTGCTCCAACTGCAATCTCTCTCGCTTCCATCAAGTACAGATGACAGGTTCAAGTTTCTCCATAATAAGACAAACTCGCAACCTTCCCCCAGCCACCCCTCCCTCGTCTGAATACAGGTTTGCTTGTCTTTTGTTGAGTTAGAGAAAGGCTATCTCTCTCTGCCTTTCACAGAGGTACCCAGGCACCCCCTCTCCCTCCTTCACCCCACTCCTTCCCTCAAGCTCTTGTGAATTGGCTCCACCAGTTCTCACTCCATCTGGGACAAAACCAGCAGCGAATTGATTAAAATTCAAATGTCTCATTGTTTAGGTCAGGGCAGTAGATGCTGGCAGAGACAGGTTGAATCCATACACTACACACACACACCCCTTACAGTCCTCTGCTTCTTTATCTCCTTGATGTGCAGTGTACCAGATAATACCTTTCCACTCAGACAGTAAATGCTACCATCCCTCCGTCCACCTTCCAAAGAGAAACAGCATCTCTTTTCCTCCCTGCAGAGACAGGGAGAGTAAATTGAGGAAGAGTAAAAAAGGGAAATAATCACAGTAAATGGCCCACATCTGAGCCGTTGGAGTTATAATTTCAAGGGAGGAGGGGAAAGGAGGCAGAGGAAAACAAAGGGAGCCTCATCAGCTGAGGACAGGGCAATACCCTCCCTCTGCTTCTGCCCTCTGCTTCGGGAGCTCCCGCCTCGTCCCTGCTGGGCACCCTGCACCACACACACACTGCTCTCCACGTTCAGGGGGCAGTCAGGGTGCTACCAGCACTAGAAGAGAGGAAGCCCAAATGTTTTTTCAGCATGTCCAGAAGATTTATTTTGCTGAACAGCTGACTGTACTTGCATCCCTGTTGCTAAGGAAGAAAAACTTGCTCAGTACCATTGAAGCATTTCTGGTAAGAGTAAGTAATTTGGCAAAGTGCCGAACCAGAGATGCCCAGTTTTGGAGGGATTTGCCTCTTGAGGCAGCTCTCCTCCCTGGACTTTCAGATGTCTAATAAGAGATTAGCATACGTCACAGGGCTTTTGCCAACAGCCCTTTTCTCCTATCTCCAGAAGCCTGTCCCCACAGCACTTAACAGGCACCTATAGGACCTATAACGCTCTCTCCAGTCTGGCTGGATCTGTCCCACGGGCTCAGTAGTTTTTCAGATGGCACCACCAGACACGCTCAGGGAGTACAACCACAGAAACCTCCTTCCTGGGGAAGTCCATCTTGAACACCAAAACACATTCTCCAACAAGTTTCCAACTTTAGCACAGTTTTGGCATGGCAGTCTTGGCCAGAGATAAAAAAAACCTCCTGGGAATCAGGCCTCCTGGGTCCCACTCTCACCTTTGCCACAGACTCTGTAGATGAAGTTGGCCAACTGGGTTCACTTGTGCTTTTGCTGCCCACCTTCCTGAGAGCTGGGTGGTTTCACTCACCGCTATTCTCAAAGCACTTGGGAAGCTGTCAAACTGAGTACCACACCACACAGCCCTCATTTCTCGCTG